AGGCAGATCATAGACCCTTTGTTGTAGAAGCAAACTCGGTGGAAAGATTCATGTACGAAGAAAATTATGGACCTGTCAGGGTAGTCCAAGATGGAGAAGAAACTCAAATTGTTGCACAGAGTGAAGAGCCATTTTCAGTGGATACACTTACTGAAATGTTCAGTCAAATGAGGCCAAACATAGTGGCCCTAGAGGAGCCAGTNATACCTGGTTTTCTGGATCGACAAAGGCGAAGTAGAAGTGGTGCAAGCAGACCATAGACCCTTTGTCGCAGAAGCAAACTCAGTAGAAAGGTTCTTGTTCGAAGAAAATTATGGACCTGTCAGGGTAGTCCAAGATGGAGAAGAAACTCAAATTGTTGCACAGAGTGAAGAGCCATTTTCAGTGGATGCACTTACTGAAATATTAAGTCAAATGAGGCCAAACATAGTTGCCCTGGAAGAGTCAGTAATTGGCAAAAAATTAATCAAAGAACTTTAAATGAGTTATCAGCAACAAAGGCAAATGGCCGACATTCAGGCTTTTAAAACCAAGTTAATGGTTTTCAATAAAGAATGTAAAGACCAGATAAAAGAAGAAGTGGCATTAAAAGCACTGGGAAACAAATTGGCAATGTTCGAGTTGGAGCAGAGTATTAGCCAAGAAGTTAACAAGGTGGATTGTTTAGAAGATGAAGTGCTTATAAGAAACATGGACAACGAACTAATGAGGATCACAAAGCCTTGATACGTTTAAGGACAAGACCCTCTGATTAAGGTGAATATTGGCGATGAAGGGGAAGATCGTCCAATATTTGTCAGCCAGATGCTCGATCAAGAGGTTAGTAATAAATTAATCGTTTTATTAAAAGAACATAAGGGTTGTTTTGTTTGGGAATTTCAAATATTGCCAGAAAATGCAAAGGAAGAATATGGTAAAAATTAATAATTGATATTAATTCTGTCATATTGGGGGTAATTGTTGACATATAAAAAGTGTAGTCCAATTGGATAGTCCAAGGAATGAAACCCAATTAGGAAATTCAGGATAAAGGTCCAAATAGGACCATTAATGAATGCAGTGGAGGCCTATGAATAAAGTACCATCATCGCCCAAACTTGCAAGACGCCCAAGACTTGAGCGAATGAAGTGTCTTACGATCGCCCAAAGCGATGATCTCATTCTCGTCCAAACCTTCGAGGCGCTCAGGATCTGAGCGAATATAATGTATTATGGTTATCCAGTACAGTAGTTATTGAAGAAGTTATTAAGCAACCTTATCACATCCCACGACCCACGAATCCCGATTGCAGGCAGTTAAACAACAAGATTAATGGCAACAGTTAGAGATGACAGTTCCATGACAAGTCAGACATCATGAAGAAAGTGGTAGTTATAGAGCACCAAGTAGTTTTCAAATAGTTCTTCACAAAGAAACTATCAAAGGAGTATAAAAAGAAGAGAAGACACAGAAGAAAGAACCCCGAATCAAGCACTCTCGACAGATAATATGTAATTTCAATTTCTTAATTTAACTTTAAAACATCTCTTTTTAGTACTCGTGTGTTTGCGCTTTTTGGAGGCATTCTGTTTATTTCCAATTGTAATCTTCATCAATAAAGCACCAATTTTTAAGACTTCGTCTCAAGAGGTTTGATCCTTACACAATCGTTTGAACATTTTCTTTTAATTGTTAGCGATAATCCGTGCGAAACAGATGAAAAAAATAAATGTACACAAAAAAAAAAAATTTACAAGGGAAAAATTTTTATTTTTATTTTTTTTCAAACTATTCAAATTACGGGACATAACTGATCCTCTCTAAATCCGTCCATGCATCTAAGTGTATCTTACTTTCTTCGCTATCATAATGAATTGTTTGATGTATGAACGTAATTTCAAATTACAACGCTCTTCTATAATTCTATCCCGATGATGAGAATAAAATCGGAATGTAAAGTTTGCTTTTATAAATAGTAATATAAAGTATCCTATACAAAATACGGGTCTATTAAGAATCTTGAATTTAAATTTGGGGATCCTTGTTATTTGAGAGCACGTAAAAGTTAACAAAAGAAGTGAAAGGATTCGCATCATCACAGCACATGTAATTGTGTTTCATGATCAGATGATCTTACGATCATTGGTTTTACTATTTAATTCCGCAGTCATTAATATTAAAATACTTTTTATTATTGGTGAATAGATATTTGATTAAATTATAATGGAAAGGTAAGTAGATGACAAATCAGAAGACACCTTTCTTTTCTCTGCTCATCTTTTGATGAATTTCAGG